ACACTTTGTTTGTATGTAATGCAGAAGAGATTAGGGAACGAAACGAAAGGGTTGGTTTTGAAGTGGTGACCTTGGATGGCCGCAAAAGTTTGCTCGCTTCTTCTACTGTCTCTAGGTACGTCCTCGTTTTCCTTTGGCCTCAAGTCTCTAGGTTCCCCTGACAATTGATTAGGGCTGGTTCTTCTCTCTGTTGGCAGTCCTGAATCCATGAGATGGCCTAGTGTTGGCAAGTACAAAGTGGACATTGCATCCTTTGAGTCTATAGCATTGCCTGAGCTCCAGGTTCTGTCACTTCCTTTCTTTTCTGCAGTAAAGAAAGGACACTAGACTGACTGGTTTAGGATGGTTTTTTCAAGGTCAAAGACGACACCCATCTTTTCATCATCGATGAAGTTGGCAAGATGGAAATGTTTAGTCCATCCTTCTTTCCGGCTGTCCTCAAGGTTTTGGAATCCAACATTCCTCTTCTTGCTTCCATTCCTACTCCTAAATTTGGTGGAGATCTTCCTGCAGGTAATCTTCTCCAACTTTATTCTTAGCTTTCTTTATCTTGGAGCAAACATAATGAGGAATCATGCTGAATTCATTTTCAGCCTGTATTTGGTTGCTCCACTCTTGCTGCCATTGAGTAGTAGTAGTCCACCCTTCTCTAAAGTCAATGATACGGACTCATGGTCCTGTTTGTATTGGCTTCCTGTGTCCTCTGTTACTTGTTCACTTGATTTCAATCTCTATTAGCATATTTCTGGCGTGTCTCGAAAAGCTGATGGAAGGGTGCCATTGCGTTCACTCTCTGTTTCCTTATCGTTTGTTTATATTCTTCTTTGGTGTTAGCAGTTGCAAGGCTAAAGAACCAACCAGGAGTGACCGTAATTACCCTGAATGCGAGTAATAGAGATTCCATGAAAGAGCACATCTTTCATGTAGTCTCTGGATGGCTGCCCAAGCACTAGGGTTTATGAGCATGTCTCATCTCTCTCTATCAAACTTAAACATTTTTTGTTTTAAAATCTCAAGATTCAGACCCAAAAGTGTGAAACTATGTGCCTAAGACCACCGTTAACTATATCTTTGATGTACTTAATGATATTATTTGGACTTGGTAA